TGTTTTGGCTTCGGGGAGCCTTTGTTCAAACACAATAATTATAGTTCAAGTATTTATGAACTATAATTCATAAATAATATACTGATAGATTACAATTTAGAAGACAGGATATATGACGCAGAGTGTGTGATGGATTTGTATGATTTAATTTCGCCTTCCCCTTTCATCATCGGCGAACTAGACGTTGGCTGGGGCTCCACCCCTGTACATAGGAATGTTACATAGTCGACTTCATCGTCACTTTCCATCAGGTAAGATGGAGGTGAAATGCGTACTATTTTAGGTTAAAAAAAACCTCGTCATTAATTGCCTCCGAAGCCGAATGGTTACCATTCTGGTGTGCTATGCAGAGATCCCGGGTTCTATTTTTGGGCCGGGAGAAATATTTGTATGGCCTACATTTATTTCTATCGTGAGTTCGAGTTTCATTTGTGGTTATCTATGTGCGCGTTTATAACACCCGCGAAACAGGGTTTGTCTAGTGTGGGGCTATGAGTGCGTGCGTTGTTATTATTACTATATACGAGACAACCTTTGGATTAATAACTTTTGTTTAATTTCCTTATTACCAATCAATAAAACAGGTGGGGTAGGGATAGGGTTGTGGCAATGTTGTATGTTGTCTACATCGATGATACTTAAATCCTATTGTAATAACGTATAGTAATAATAATTTGTATACTTAAGTAAAAAAACCAAAACATTAACAGTTGGGTTGTGGTACCTATTTACAATTCTAAGTTTCAGCTGCATTTAAATTGTCTAAGTTTCGATTTCGTAATAATTGTCGTAATTTCTTTACTAAACTGTAGGTCATAATGGATAAGGGTTAAGTTAGTCATCCGAAATCCGGCTGCGGAATTTCGATCACAGCGATTCGTGCGGTCGTAGCGGTAGTAAACAGCGGCTATCAGAAACTTCGTTTCAGAATTTTGCGGTGCGTTAGTACCATTAATCTTATTCAGAAAATTTATTAATGATTGAAAAGCCATGGTAGCCTAATGGTCTGACCTATCGCCTCTCAAACAGAGGCTGTCGGTTCGAATCTGTGTATCTGCGAAATTCAATTTGAAATTTACCATGAGCTTTTCAGTGAAGGAAAACATCGTGCATGTCGAAGAAGGTTCACTAAACGGAAAACATGTGAAGTTCCCATTGTGTCAGCGTTGCGGACTACGGCATAAACATGGCATTAACTCGCCTGAAAGGAGTCCCGTGCACAGCAGTGCGACAATTGAATGACAATGATAAAAAAGTGTACCATATGAACTACCTTTTTTTTTCGCTGGGAAATGCGTTACGCATACCGCTCGGCTCGGAGGAGCATCGAGCGGTTATGTAGGACTCCCCGGCGGTAGTCCCGTATACCCACTAAAACTCAGCAGTTAACTCCACCGCCATAGAGAGACGACCCAGGACCCGCTTGCGCATACTACTGGGACGTCTCGGCGGATGGACCGCATAGAGGGAGCTCCCTTAGTCTTGATGGAAGGGGTCCCCCGACCCCAATCTACGGCGGGGGAAGAAGGTGGGCATACTGCCTCCTTTTTCTCCCCGGCCTACGTCTTCGAAGCGGGTCAGAGAGGGGGTCGTCGTCCCTGTAGCGCTCCGCAGCCTCCTTCTGCGAGATTACAATCTCGCAAAAGGATACCATAGCCTCCCAGCACCCCTCGCTGCCGAGCATTGCGCCCACGATTGTTGGCAGCGAGAGATCTCCTCCCACTATGTCAGTCAGGGAGTGCCGCTGAGGGCCCCAAGCCGCACATTACGTTAGGGCGTGTCACGCCGTACCAACGGGTGCGCCGCATTCGTGGCAGACAGGAGTCGCTTCCCGACCCGCCACACGATACAGGTACTCACCAAAGCATCCATGTCCAGTGAGCACCTGCACCAATCTAAAGGACAGTGTCCCGTGTCGCCGGTTAACCCAGCGGACTAGGTAGTGGCGGATGACCTATATGGTCACTGAGCCAGCGATTGGGGACTCCAAGTCCTCAGATCATCTTCGGAACAACGCGGCGCGGCCCGCTGCCCTGATCCGCCTTGTTTCTTCAGCATCAGGGCTTTCCCCTCTGCTTCGCATGGTTACACGGTACCGGTGCACTTCCGCGAGCACTTCCGCCTGAAGTTCCCACGGGGGATCACCCGCGAGAACTGTGGCGGCCGTCCACGATACCGTGCGGTACCCCCGGATCACTCTCACCGCTATAATCCTCTGCGGCTTCCGTAGGAAAGGCTTGAGTTGAGCGGTGAGAGCTTCTACCCAGATGGGTGAGCCGTAGAGTGCCATACTCCGGATTATTCCAGAGAACAGGCGCCTGCAGATTGAGCCCGGTCCGCCGACGTTTGGCAGGAGTCGTCCGAGGGCTACTGCGGTACTCATCAGCTTTGGGGCAAGTTGGGAGAAATGCGTCTTGAATGTCCACCTCCCATCCAGTACAAGGCCCAGGTATTTCATTCGAGCCTTGACTGGGACCGTCTCCCCGAACAGGGTGATCTTGGCCCCTCTAGGGGGACCTCTGCGCGAGTCGTGAAATAGGAGGGCCTCCGTTTTGTATATGGAGACCCTCAGCCCTAGCAGGTGGATCCACTTCACCACCAACGACGTCGCGACGGTCCTCAACCGCGCGGCCTCTTGATATGTCCTATCCCGGGCAGTGACGAGGACGTCATCTGCATAGCAGATCAGCCTCGTCACGGGAAGGAGGGGGCCGTGTAGGAGCCAGTCAAAACCAACGTTTCACAACATAGGGCCAAGCACGACACAACAAAATGGCGATAAGATTTTAATGCTTTTTTCAAAACACTGTTGGGAGCGTTTTGTATATAGCTTTATCTATAGAAAAACTTTAGAATACGAAAAGATTATTTTTACTTGCTTTAGTGTAGTTGATCTTGTAGAAAAATATTCACTTCTATGAAGCTTTTGTGATTGTCTATAAAAAGCGATGTTTCTAAGCCTTTATAAAAGTTATAGGGAATAGTGAGCGTATTATGCAATAAAAAACTTTTCAAAACACTAGGTCACAAAAACAATTGAAAAAATCCAATTTGTCTCAAAAAAAAAAACGTTATTAATAATTATATGGAATGTGTTATATATGACTAGAAAGGTGGATAAATATCCTATCATATAAATATAAGGAATGTTTTAATGATGTACCTAACTTATGTCGGAAGAAATAAAATTTTCATTACAAAATTGAGGTTATTTCTTCACGCCAACCACATTTCACACAATGATTTCACTGTATGCTATTGATAGACGGCACAATACACATACACAACATTGAAGTACAGTAGTTTACGCGTTCATTTCAATTGTTTTTATCATTTCAGAACACGGAATTACTTCACAATTTTTATTTATTTGTCAACAAACGAAGCCACGACCGGCTCGCGCGCGAATTACGACTATTGTATCCAGGGTTGCCAATTTGTGGGAAATTCTTCGAATTGTGGGGAATTTCAACTAGATTGGGGATTTTGTGGGGATTGGCGCTATGTGAGGAAAATGTAGGAATTCTAACATTTTATCATTTTGTTTAATCTATCAATTGCTGGTGCATCGCTAGTTTGATCGTTACTGTTAGAAACACTGTGATAGACTATATCGACGTGTTTTTCAATATCGCACATCTCTCGTGTTATAAACAAGCAGCTTAAATAGAATTATTATTAGAGAACTTGGTTCTGAATTGTAAAATTACCAGTCGGTGCGTTTTGAGTTCGCGATTCTTTCTCCCGCTTAGGCCGGTCCCCGGTATGAAGCAAAACGAAATCAGCTGTTGATAAACAAAGCCGAGCAGTTGGTACTTCCACACCACAATTTACCACTCGTCAACTTTGAATATTAAATATAAGTAGGTCGAAACTCATTGATTATTTCTAACATTAACATAGTGTCACCAAATGCACAACAAATAATCAATTTACTTAATTTTGTAAGGCAAAGAAAAATGATTTTTTTTCAAAGACTGTTTACAGATTAATGTTAAATCTAATTAAAATAAATAAACGATTTAAGGTCATCTAATTTTATAATTAGTTTTACATTTTACATTCTGTTTACATTCACAGCAAACGTAATAGATTATTACATTTTCAGTTTCTTAATTCTTTATTATATTTTAAGCGATGTATTTCTAATAAATAATGAAAATTCGAGATGTGGGGTCGTGGGGAATATGAACTTTGCTCTTCCCAAATTTTGAGATTTTAACCGTGATTTTTGGGGATTTTGAACAATTGGCATTGGCAACGCTGATTGTATCGAATGATGTGACTTAATATCCAAGGTTCACTATCTCCACCAGATCTTTTAATATTCTTTACTTTATCTATTTTGCATGAACTCTTACAACGTCCAATAGAGTAAAAACCCTAATTGTAGTATTTAAAAAAAATAAAATCTACTGAAGACGCGCTATAACGTGTTTGTCATAAGTACAAACACTACAGAACGTCTATAAATTAAATATATCTAGAATAAACTTAAGAACACTAGTTTTTAGAGTATTGGTAGACTTTACCGGACGTGTATAGAACAATTTTATTAAAAATAATCAGTTGTTCTACAGATAAACTTAAAATAAGGACTATAAGAGTAAATATTAAGAGAAATTATACTTAATTAAGTTGTTTGGTATTAAGGTTTTAAAATTTTCACTTGAGTGAAATAAGTCTATAAGAACAATTTGTTTTTTCTAAAACCATTTATAGAGAACTAGTATTTAAATGTATATTATTTAAGACTGTTTACAGATGTAACAGTTTTAAGGCGTATAAAGTGTGCTCCTTGGGATCGTATGGGTATATGGTTCGCGACATTCACAATGTTATCTGGCACTAGCGGGTCTTATGCGTCTACGTTTTTCAGTTCGTTACTTGTGAACCTTTTCCCAATCTCATATCCCAAAGGGCTTGTTCATTATCACATCTCTACTTTATTAATTCCGAAACATTAAAATAATAGTCCACATGTAATAATATCAATCGTTTATTAATAACCACCCAAAGTCAACAAGAATAAGTAGAAAATCTTTTGATTCTAAACGTCCAAGGCGAGATTTTCGATAGGGACGTTGTCGAGGAAAATTCGCGTTGAAGAAATAAATTCGTCCATCATCGCTTTTATTATCGGGGGACCGATTTCGTACACTACCTCTTTGCCATTTGACGATATCAGCTCGCGGGCAGCATTGCCTGGAAAATAGTTACATTGTAATCATCATCATCAACCCATTTATGCGTCCACTGCTGAGCATGGACCTCCTCTCAGGCGAGGGTGTACGAATACTCATATTGCTTTTATTTGAACTGTCGTGTCTGCCATCTTGGATTTAGAAAGAAGTGCCATATTCGTATTGAGCATCCCCAAGTACCTCGAAAAGGATACCCAAATTGCATTTTTTGAAAAATCGTTTTTTAAAAATCACACGTTTCCGTTTGTGAACCTCTTTTTGACGTGCAGATTTCATCACGATATTTTCCTTCGCCGGAAAGCTCATGGTAAATTTCAAATTGAATTTCACACCTATTCTTAGATTAGAACCAACCGCCAGGCGGTAGGTCAAGCGATTAAGGTACTATGGCTCATTATATTGTAATAAATATTACAAAACATAAAAATCATCACCATTGCTCGTGTTCAAGTTTCCAAATCACTATAGTTTGCACCAGGAAGAATTTGAAGCGGTTACGTACAATGCAGTGCGATATAAATATATGATTACTGTGTCGAATTTTAGTATGATAAGTAAACTTAGTAATAAACAAGACGAAGTCGTTTTTATAAGTAGTCAATAATATAATATATAATAAAATTATTGAATAATAATTTACCTAAGACTTCGTTTCCGTCGAACAGGTTTTCGAAAACTAAGTCAACTTTGTCTTTTAATTCGAAGGAGTGTGTCCATTTCTTCATGTCCCAGTGTTTTTTGCCGTCCTTTCCAACTTTTTCACTCAAGTCGCATTCAAAGTTTATAACAAGTTTTCCTGAAATTATATAAACAATTTCTTAATACACTACAAAACATTTTCATAATCGATCCTGCCTCAATTTTTACATGCATTAGGTATATACTACTAAAACATAATTGAAAATTTTCCATGTTTGTGTCTGTGGATTGAGAAGCGACATAACAATATTTATTGTCAATGCTATCAGTAGTAAAAACACCTTGTGTAAAGATTTACTTAAGGAGAGGTATTTTAATGCGAGTTTAGATTTTAGTAGGTGAGGTGTGGGGGCCCTTCACATTCCGCAATGCGCGCTCTGAAAATTTGTATGAATAAAATAAGCACAGGTGGAGAAAATTTGACACAGATCCGACTTCGACAAGCGCCCGATGGCGGCTGACGAGGCAGCGGGCGGCGCGGTGAGTCTTTAAAACGCTAGACAATTCGCTTTGGAGATAAATGTGAATTTAACAACTTCAGGCTTCAGTTAAAAATTTAGCAGGTCCTCTGTACTACTTACACAGAAATATCTCCATACAAAAATAATTTAAAAATGCAGTTAGATATTTTATTCTTAAATTATTTATTTTAAACTTTTATTTTAGCCTGTTTTCAGGATGTTATATGATCGAATAAAGTACATGTATAACAAATTAGCACGTTCTTTAAACAAAATCCCTAGGTGTACCGTATATTTTTTTGTAATACCGTTGTTTAACAGTAAATACCTAAACCATTTGATCTGGCAAAAGACTTTTTCCTGATTCTCTTTCTGTTTCTGGGAGCTGGGAACCTGGTAGCCTGATGCACAGGTACTTGAGTTTTGTGGAGGAAAAGTGGACTTTTACATTATATATGTATTATCATGAAAGCCTTATTCCAGTTTTTTTATGATACTAAGTAACGTCGTGCGCCTGGTCATAAGCGAAACGCCAATCCATAGCAAACGCAGTGCCACTCAGAGCTTTAAATCGCAAAGATCATGAAGCTACTGCACCCATCACCCTGAGACACATTGACAAGACCCACGTGCCTGTAATTTTACCAGCACCCTTAATCTTCCAAACCGGAACGCATAATGCTTACATTAATGCTTGGCAGCAGAAATAGGTATAGCTAAAAACTATATATAGTACAGCTATTTGTGAAGATATCTTAAAAACCTCTATCTCAAAAGTCATTAGTTGTTTCATGTGTAGTCTAGAATTCCGCCTTTCAACGTACTATAACGGTCAAGCCGCAATTGAAAAGCAATCGTTGTGGAATTTCGCTTTACTGCTTGATAGTTTGAGTTTCATGTTATATGAATGCTAGTTAGGAATATTTAATACAAAAACGAAAACCAAAATATATAATTTACTCTTTTGGTAGCATATGGATATTTTAATTTATAGTCGTTTTGCATACGATAAGCAGTTTAGTTAATTTGCAACCAGGTTAGTAAATAAACCCTTCACAAGTTGGTGTAATCCTAAATCTCAGTTAGCAGGTTTTACGCAACTTGTGGATGGTGTATTACACTTACTAAGTACGACGTGCACAGGCCCTTTGCCTCGAATTGGCAGGATCAAGATTTGACCATCCATTTCGTACTGCCCTTCCAGTGTACCATCGCATTGGAATTTCACAAACAGCTTTCCCTTTTCTACGTCTCGTCTGTAAAATGAAATGTATTAATTAATTATGAAAATGAATTGTATTTATTAATATAATAATCGATCGACTCGAGTCAGGGGGTCCCGTTCTCTAACTCTCATTTTCCGTCCGAAACAATTACCACGTCAAATAAGAAATTCCTCTTAGAGTGCCTCTTCAATGCTGAAGGTTGGTCGTCAGCTTCCTGTATCCGTCTCTATCAGCAGCCAACCGAAACAGCTGTTCGACTGAGGTCCACTCCAACATCCGGCCGCAGCCAAAATATCTTTCTTCGCCCAGCGTGTCTCTTTTCCTTACTTTGCCCATCATTATTAGCTGTAGCAGCGTGTATTTATTGTTCCTGAGCACGTGACTAAGATACTCTATTTTGCGCCTTTTGATAGATGACATTATTTTCCGGGACATGCTGAAGCATGGTTTCATTTGATTGATCTGTGTCCAACCAATGTGTAACTTGCAACGGTAGCACCACATTTCAAATGCCTGCAGGCGACTTGTAGTGTCTTCTATTAAGGTCCACGTTTCGTAGCCGTACATGACGTTAGGCTAAATGTAACATAAAAGTAACCTGACTCGGAGCACTATGTTCAGTTTGCGACAGCACAGAACTTTCCTCATGTTGTTAAAAGAGGTTCGATCAATTCCTATCCGGGTCTTGATTTCCTGATCAGTGTACCATGATACATTTACCCAATATAGTAATATTCGATCAAATTAAAAACGCATGATGCCAATGAAGGTGCTATACTTAACATTGTTTTTTAACTTGGTTGAGTATTACTTATTTGACGTGGTAATTGTTTCAGACGAATGTCCGTAAAAAGGAGTACACCCCCTGGAATCGAACGTGCGTCTGTGCCATGTTTTCGATCTTAGTGTTGATAATTATAACAAATTACTTAATAGAGTAATTTCACAAAATTAAAAGCGGCATCTCTAGCCGGCGCTGGTAGCTGTAAAGGTATCTAACTGGGTGACGAAATATAATAGATTTTTCATGGATGGCGCTACGGCTAAATAGTCGCCGAAAAACCAAATACAAAGATACGACGCAAGCACAGAAAAATTCGTGAGGTCCGCTGGGTCGTTCCGTGGCTTAGTTGGTATAGCGTCTGGCACGGTATGCCAGACGTCGGTTCGAATCCGGCTGGATCGAAGCAATTTTTTCAAAGTGTCTTTGTATTAATAATTATAAACTAGTGGAGTAATTTCACATAAAAATAATTAAATATCAATTCATAAAAAATTTGAATATCATGGTAGCAAAGCATCATAATATTCATTACAACCAATGTAACTAATGATATTGTAATTAGTTTATGTGGTCTGTGTTTATAACATACATAAATTAACCTCATGCAGCATAATGAACATCATGCAGTCGTGGTCTCGGCTGCATTGTGCAAAGTTGATTACGACTTCACGTATCAACTACAAACTGACAACAGATTGACTGCATAGTCAATCTGTTGTCAGCCTTACTCTCATAAATCTTGCCATTTGTGTGTCATTTTAATTTCATGTGCCATATTTCTCAAAGTCAGTTCTGGTTGTGCGAAAGATGTAATAGGGGATATATTTTTTTCGATAGACGATTATTGATTTATTGACAGATGTCTATACAAACGAAAGTGTGTTAGCTAAAGTTTAGAAAACAATTGGATGCTGATAAGGTTGACACAACCCACATGATCATTATTTTGCGAAAATCTCACCTAAAATATTTTTAGTTCTTTTTGATAGTTTGTTCTATTTACTTGTAAAATGCAAACTTTTGCTGCTGTCAACTTATTACTATAATTTCCGATCAACAACAAGCATAACTACAAAAATTTTCATTTTATAACTAAATTTTAGAATAATCTATCAAAAACAACAAACGTATCTTTAATTATCATTTGCGTAAAACTATGATCATGTTCACTGGCGCGTTAATGGTTATCACCATCCAATTATATTTTTTTTATTACAAAAACCGACCGAACTAAAAGTTTGTGGAATGATATTTATTTGCCAAGTTTGACCGAAACGAGCACTAACTTTATGCAAGAAATTGAGTTTGAGTTTACTTCTTAATTTTTTGCTTAAACTTAGACAAAATTCGTTTTGCAAATACGAAAAACTTGCGTAGCTTAGTTTTATTATGTCAGTGTAAGAACTATCCATTGGACAAGAAACTTACAATGCCATGTTGTAAATATCTTTAGATCTGCAATGCCAACTCATTTATACAGAATTTTAAAATAAAATTTCAAAAATAGGCAAGTAGAACGCTGTAAGCCGTACTTTAAAAACTTAATATACTAACATTACCAGTAGGGCTAGCACGAACAAGCGCGACTTGCGCGAGAGCGACATAATGCGCGAGATGTGTATACGACTACAGCAGTATCTCGCGCTAGTCGCGCCCTATCCTGCTAACCCTACTGGCACAATACGAGGTCTTTCAAAAGTATCCGACCTTCGTACAATATTCCACTCTGGGTCTATTAATCATAATTTGGCTCGTCGCATCCTTCAAAGTAATCTCCATTCGATTGAATAACACTCTCCCACTGGTGCTTCCACATCCCGAAGTGTGGAAGTCAGTTTTCGGAATATCCTTCAGTGTACTCGCTGTATTTTTTTATAATCGTATCTGTGTCGTCAAACCGACGCCCTCTGAGCAAAATTTTCGATTTCGGGAACGTGTTACACCATGAATGTCCTCCCAGACGATCAACATAGAATTTTACGGTGAAGTTCTGAAAAGGTTGCATGACGCAGTGTAGAGTTTTTAGGCGATAGCTCGGTTTTCTCACCACGATAATGCGCCAGCGCCTTCATCGGACTTTGTTCAACAGTTTTTGACAAAACATAAGATCACTCCACTTCGCCAACCTCCGTATAGTCCCGACGTAGCCACCTGTGATTTTTGGCTATTCAAAAGACTGAAAATTCTGCTTCAAGGGCGTTGATTTAACGATGCCCTTTGAGCAGACGATTTAAAAAGTGCGATAAGTGCACTGTAGGCTTTTACGAAAACTGACTTCCATAACTGCTTCGGGATGTGGAAGCACCGGTAGAAAAAGTGTTGTTCAGTGGAATGGAGATAATTTTGAAGGATGCTACGAGCCGGATAATGATTAATAGACCCAGCGCGGAATACCGGACGAAGGTCGGATACTTGTGGGATAGACCTCGTATATTTAAAAAAATATCCTAATTTCTGTAATAAAGTAGGAGACGCCCCTGAATATTTCTCGAAATATAAACAACATTAAACGAGTACAAACAACGTCTAAATTGACGATATATAATTTCGGACGTCATTCTATGTCAATAATAATTTATAATAAACTCCATTGATCTACCATAAACTCCCACAATATTTATGATGTAGGTATATTATAGGTTGCATTTTTAAAAGTAAATGAAACTCTAGAATACATATTCTTTTTGTCTTATTTACTTTTCAAACAGAAAAGAATACACTCAGTACTTCGTTTTTATTTTTTAACATGAAGCCTATCATACATGTAAAAACGATTTATTTAAGTTAAAACCATGTTAAAACGTAAAAAATGCTATTATTATACAACTTACAACAACTTACGAAGGGAGGTATAGTTATTCATAAGTATGTTTTATTAACGACAACACAAACATATAATATTTATTTAAAAGTGCTCTACTGCTTTTTAGCAGCTATAGTGCTCCTTGTGACTGCCTCCGTGGCCGAGCGGTTATCATGTCGCACTGCCACGCACAGGTCCCAGGTTCGATTCTCGGGCCGGGAGAAATGTTTGTGTGACCTACAATTATTTCTCTCGTGAGTTTGTGTGTAGTTTGTGGTTACCTATGTGTGTGTCCATGGCACCCGCGACACAGGGTTTCCCTAGTGCGGGGCTATGTTGAGTGTGTGCGTTGAGTGTGGAAGTGTTAGAAAGAGTTCGTCCAGTGAAGTACTGCCACCTTACCTATTTCTGTCGCCAAGCAGTATTACTGCGTTCCGGTTTGGAAGGGTAGGGTGTAGGGTGCTGGTGAAATTACAGGTACATGAAACTTGTCTTGTGGGGAGTGGCACAGAAACTTGGAGGCCTATACCCAGCAGTGGGTGAAGTCAGGCTTTATATGATGATGAGACTTGTCAACTTATGTCTCAAGATGGCGGGAACAGTGGCACTGCAATTATTTAACCAGGCGCGCGACTTGTTGTCCCGTCGCGTGGTATTATAAAAAAAATACTTACGAAGCCTTCTTTGCTATGCAATTTTTCATTCCTGCAACATAAACATCAGTAGCAATCAACTTCAGTCCTTGTCTGCTAGCGTCGATTCTTTTCATATATATTGGATCTAGAGGTTTTACGCCCAGTTCGGGAATGCCCTTTGCGAAAGCCTGGAAACCCTTTGAAACGTTTTCTTTTAAGCATTTCGAATCTTCTGCTTTGCATGGAGTAACAAAAAATGATCCTGCGGAGGAAATGATAATTTGTTAAAACTTAATTCATTATTAGCTAAATAGTATTTAAATTTGTGTAATGAAAATTTAACCCGACACGCGGCCTAGAGACACACGGTGTCCCTAACGTTTTTGGTACAATAGCGTCCACAATTCATTTAGAGAAGGCACAGTTTGTTGAACTAATCAATAACTCTATCTTATTCTATACATAATATCCAAAAATTAAAAATCAGTACTTATTAATTTTACAGCTTTCACATTTTTTTAAAGCTTATATACACTGTCCCACTGCTGGGCAAAGGCCTTCCTCCCCTCTCTCTACATCTCTCTGTTTTGCGCCACCGAGGTCCAGTCTTCTCTTAGTTTTACATTACATTATTTAAATTACATAAGTTTAATTATTAATACAAAGATCGAACACTCAGAAAAAATTCCTTCGATCCGGTCGGATTCGAACCGACGTCTTCTTGCATACCGTGCCAGACGCTATACCAACTAAGCCATGGAACGAACCAACGGACCTCACGAATTTTTCTATGTGCTTGCGTCGT